TTGGTGGAGCTGGGCTGGACTGTGGGGAAGGGAGGGGAAAAATATGGGGAAGGGGCTTGTGCTGAGGGGAGGTGGTCAGGAGAAGAAGAAGAAAGGGGAAGGCACCAAGGGACAGGGGTGCAGGAGAGACAAATGCCAGGGGGCCAAGTGCAGACAATGAGGAAAAGGGCAGGAGGGTAGGTGTCAGTGGGAGGAGGGACAGGGTGATGCTGGGAGAGGAGAGGGTAAGGGCACTGGGGGCTAGAGGGGGAGGTGCTGGGAGAAGGCTTGAAAGAAGTGGGGGTGGGCATGAGGAAGGCGGGGATGGAGCAAGGCATCTGTGGGGGAACGGGGGCAGAGGGTAGTGAGGGGGTGGGTATCAGGGAAAAAGAGAGCAAAGGGGGCAGGGCCAGTGAGAGAAGGGGGAGGCACCAGGAGGGTGCAGGTGCTAAGGGATTCTGGGGGTGAAGCAGAAGGGCAGACACCTGCAGGGGAGGGACCAGCACTAGAGGAGAGAGGCAGGGCAGGTGTGTAGAGGGAGGTTTTAGGAGAGGGGATGAGGAGGGGTAGCTCAGATGATCAGAGTGGGGTTACTGGAGGAGTGGGCACAGGGCGGAGAGAAGGGCTGGCGGAGGGGGTAGGTCTCAGGAAGGCTGAGGGCAGTGAGAAGGGCAAGAGTCAGGACAGCAGAGGATGAGGGGTTGGGGGGCAGCAGGCAACCAGGGGAGCTGATGGCGGAACGGGAGGAGACATGGCAGCAGAGAGAAAAGGTAGAGGTTTATAAGATATTTATTAATAACCTGGGTGATATTTATTAATGACTTATTAGTAATTATTGTTCTTATTCTTATTAGGAATTTATGCCATTAAAAAACACTTTGCGGGGGGAGGATGGCGAATCCCTTTTTTGTCTGACTAGTAGGGTTTTCCATAATTTGTCGACCCCGATAATAAATATGATAAAAATGGACAACTTGTATCAGAACTGCTTTGCTACTGATAAATTACCCAGTTCCAAAGTTGAATGTCTTTTGGCAGTAAGGAAGTGTAGGTAGATATTTTTACTCAATCTTAAGCAGTCATACTGTACGTTGAGCCATTTTGACAACTTTGAAATTCTTATTTAAAAAGCCACTTATCATGTTTTGTCCTTACTATACTTTCAGGTATTCTATATCCTAAAGGACCATGAGATATCCAGTGCAATGCCTTACCAGTTTGCTAAAGAGATTGCTGTAGCCAGCAGTGCTGCTCTTTGCCCGCATCTCAAAACACTGAAAAATAATGGAATGAATAAGATAGGCCTCAGAGTCTCCATTGATACTGATATGGTAATTTTTGTTTACTGCACGCACACAATATGTAATATTACCATCTTAAAATAATGATATTTAGATATAATGTCTTTAGCCCTTTTAAACCTTTGCACATGGCCAAATGCAAAGTCAGTTGCCAGCAATGGATGTTACTGGAAAAAATTCAGAACACGAGTCTGAGAATTAGACTCAATCCTTATTGTTCCTAGAGAAACTGTGTAGGTCATGTTTTAAGATCATTAGCTGAGAGAGATGCAGGAGTTTATTTACACTCACCACAATTTAAACTTCAAATTTTGTTTTCAAGTTAGATAGTTTTCAAAGGTCTGTCATTAAGTAACGAATATACAAAAGATCTGGTTGCTTGCATCCTGAATTCATCACTCTGAGGAGAAGGCAGTGTGTCTCAATTCTGAATACACGGTCTTCTGGCCAGTTAATGTGTTAACTTTCCCAGAGTCTCTTCCAGTCTCCAGTCCCTGGTCAATGCTACTTGTTAGAATAGAAGACTTTACCTGAAATTTGTTTTATATTGATGATTGCACACTGTATCTATTGCTCTTCTAATTTGGGCTTGTATTAACATCTCATGTGATATACCAACTTAAAATAACTATTTTTATTTTAGGTTGAGTATCAGTTAGGATCTGGAGGCCAGCTTCTTCCACAGCATTATCTAAAGGACCTTGACAGTGCTCTGATTCCTGTGATCCATGGTGGGACATCAGACACCACAAGTGTACCATTAGAAATTGAATTAATATTTTTTATTACAGAATACCTCTTTTAATATAAATGACAATATATATTATACTATGTATAATGTTCTGATTTGCTAGAATTAACCCAGCACCAAAGCTGTAATCCTATCAACACTAAAGAAGTTAAGGTTTATTTCAAAAATATAATTGAGTAATAGATTTTTATACTGGGTTTAGTTTCTAAAAATGAACCAAGTCCTCTAACCCTAGTATAAAAAATAACTTTTTTTATTTTAGAGTTTAAGCTTTCCTATGGTTGTGAAACTTTACACTTAATATAGTCACTGGAAAAAAAGGCAAAGACTTCTTACCTCTAAGCAATCTGTAGCATCTACTATACTTGTTGTAAGGGTAAGCCATATACCTCTTAAACCCAAGCAAATGATTTAGTAACAGTCCTTATAATTAGATGTAGCATAAATCTGGGACACTCCATGTGGATGTGCAAATGAGTTGTATTTAATTTTTTTTTAAATCTTGTATATTTAATTGGTACAGAACTGTTTGTTGCTATTGAGATCCAGTATAAAATCTGAGGGTTGACCCCAAACAGTGGATACTTATGTACTTGTAATATGTAGAATCTGCCTACACAATGGGATATTTATTGTGTGGGAAGAATAGAGAACAGAACTTTGTCCAATATGTTGTGGATATTTGGGTTTTTTAAGATTTCTTAATTGGCCTTGTTCTGGCTTAAAAATCAAGAGAATTAGTATGTTTGGTGGTGCTTTTGGAACTTGTGCTTTTAAGCTGAGTCTCTTTATAGAGTAGCTGGTTTCCTTACGTATTTATAATGACTTATCTAACTTTGTTGGGTATTATTTTTGTATTACACTGATTTTTGTTTTCCTGTGCTTAAAATATACCTTTGTAATTTGGGACTTCCAAGAGTGATAAAGAACAGCCCAGGTGACCCTGAGTAGTTCTCATGTAGCAATAAGCCGGGCATGAAACCTGTAATAGCTTTTCTGCTTCTATCTCTAACTTCTGAAACCTCTTCGTAGCCCTATTTATTTTTCAGGAAGAAAATGTATTAAGTGTGAATTTTCATGATTAGATTGCATTTTTGAGGTTCTTTGTATAGTACGTATTTTTGATACTGGGGTATTAGCAATTAAAAACTAAGAGGAGGTTTGTAATTTGTGCCTGAGTGCAGAGATTTAGATAACACTGATCAGGTATAACTATTGTGTAATTAACCTGTTCATTTTGAAGAGCATCTTAACACGCTATATCTAAAACCAAAATTGAATAAAATGTTGAGTTTTAGACTGACAGATCATTAAAAACCTAAATATCTAGATGCCTTCTTCATTCTCATAGGAGATATTTATATATATTTTTTGTATCAAAAACATAGCTTGTAACTTAAAAAAAGTCACCAGCCCTATTACCCACACCTTGAAGACCCATAATAATGGAAATGTACAGGATTTAAGGTCTTAGGTTAAAGAAACTAGGTATTTCATTGTAGTAATGCAGACAATTTTTTGTTCAGAGAAAAATTGCAGTTCTGTGGACCAGCCAGAGACATTAAGTTAGGTAGCATGAACAAAATGGATGTGTAGTCTTCTGAAAGTGGCTAACAAGAAGACAGCAGGGGCAAGCAGTATTAGAAACATGAACAATAGACAAATGACCATTGTCATGTTTCTCAATGTTAAGTTCAGTTACACCAGATGAAAACAATTTGCAAACTAATTATTTTCTCTTTTTTGGTGTTGCCATATTGGTAATTTGGGAAATCAGATTCATGTCTTTAAACTCTTACCATTTAATGTTTCAATTTCATTTAATAATTATCACTAACAAATAAAACTGATTTAAATGCTTAACAGATGAGGTAAAATAACATTGTTCTATTAAAGCAAAAAGTACTTCTTGGACACAAGTTTCCCATATTTTTTCTGTCTTTAAAGTTTGTTTTTTTGCTTAATTCTGCTGTTGTACTTGGAGTTATAGACTGTTCTTACCACAGAAATTGCTGTTTATTTCCAAATACAGCTTTCGGCAATAGACTGTAAATAATACTGACAAATAAATGGACCAGCATGAAATGTTTCAGATACTTTTCTGGTTCTGAAGATCTGGCTTTGGCCAAAATCTAAAAATCTTAAAAAAGGTGCAGTAGTACAGTTAGTGATGAACATAAATGGATTGCACATGGATGGCACAGAAGGGGCCACCTGCTCTCCAATATCAATCTGTGCCAGGGGTTCTCAAACTTCATTACACCGCAACCTCTTTCTCACAACAAAAATTACTACGGGAAACCCCCGAGATGCAACCGTCGGAGTTATGGCCTCCTTCCCCCCAACCGTTTTTGTAAGTGTGGAAGGGGCCATAAACCCCTGACTTACATCCTTGGCCCACATTTACAACAGCGCATGACACCTATTGTAAATGAGGGTTTGAGTTAAGATGCCCCTGACTTGCGATGCTTCTCCAGAAACTGATGGCGTCGCAAGTCGGGGGCCACCTATACTTGACTCTTTGAGATGGAAACCAAAGCCTGAGCCTACCCGAGTGCTACTGCCTTGGGTGGAGATGGGTCAAAGACACCCTAAGGTTTCAACTGTAGGAAGAGGGCCTGTAAGCTGAGCCCCACTGCTTGGGGGGGGGGCAGCCTTCAGGCTCGGGCTTCAGCCCCAGGTGGTAGGTCTGGGGCTTGACCCTGGCCCCCAGCAAGTTGTAAGCCAGCCCGTGCAATCTTGATCCACAGTTTGAGAACCACTGGTCTGCTTTATATCTTCTTAATGCTTGTTCCTGTCAATTTCAATCCAGTACGTGTGCACTACATGCACAGTGGTTGGAAAGTTTTTCCCTTAGCAGCACCCCTGGGGTTGGCTCTGAGACTCTGTGAACTGGCACCTTCTTCATATATGACTTTGCTGACTCAACCCCCACTTTCAGTTCCTTCCTACTGCTTGTAATGGTCATTTGAACAATGTTCACTTGCCTCGCAAGTGCTTCCGTAAGCTTGTTCTCTAGTTTCTGCTTTTATATATGTTTCAGTTCATAGTGAATTTAGTTTTAGTGTTATGTTAAGGTTAGGGAGTAGGGCTTTGCCCTATCCCTTACCTCCCCATAGCTCTTGGGCATGCAGCAAGTCCATGCCTGAAGTGTCTGAGAGAAGAGCACCAGACAGATTAGTGAAAAATCTGCAGGTCTTTCCACTCAAGGATGAAGGAGTGGGACTTTCATCTTTTGATGAAGTCTGCTCTATCCTCAGCCCACCTCAGCACACCGGGCCCCAGTGCTGTGCATATTTGTGCAGAGCGCTCTGGCCTCCGTGTACAACATGGCACCGAGGAAGGATTCAAACTGTTGACACTACTGGTCCCTGGCACTGGAAGAAGATGAGGCATTCCAGCACAGTCCCATTCACCAGTACCATACAAGTAAAGAATACTGATGTAGTGATTACCCAGGGCTGAAGGCTGTCCAGCTGCCAGGCTCAATAGCAGTGCATCCCAAGAAGGAGCACTTGACACCTAAGAAGCAGGAGTCAGCACTATTGATGTTAGTTCCCTGGAGGGGACCATTCAGTCTGGTGCCCAGCAATTGCTCAAATAGTGGAAGGTGGTGGAGTTGAGTTTAGCTTGCACTCTGGACACTTTTAAAGCTGACAAGAAGTTAATAGAAGTGACAGCACCCCAACTTTTGGCTGTCAGGACAAGCTTCTGGTGCCTCTGAGCTCAGTCCCATCTAGAAGAAAACTGTCTATGATGTGGTGATCTCCTTGGCCAGTTTAGCACTGATCACATGCTATCACCAAGGCACTGGCATCCAACTGGCACTGTCTAGACAAGAGTCTAGGTTTCTGGCACCAATCCCCAATACTGGTTGTCAGCACCACAATGATAGTCTTGGTCCAGATCACGGTCATTGGACTCCTTTTATTCCCACCATAGTTAATGCTATTCTCATAGTACAGAAGTGAGGCACTGGTAACATGGCCTCTGTCCTGGCAGCGCAATGGCTCTCTTCCCCTCCCCCCGCCCCCCGCGGGGTTATCATGAGGACCAAAACTAGTTTTCCCGGGGCTTCAGGTTGGTGGTCTCAAACTCGAATGCTCAGCCAGTTAAATATCATCCAGCCTCTAAGGGATTGGAATCATTGACATCACAGGATCAGTCTGTCCAGATCATCACCAAGGTTACCATGACTACAACCCCAACTGCTGAGCAGACCATGTCTGCTACAACCCTTCAGGAGGATACTACAGAGCTCGTGATTTCTGTGACCAAGCCATAGCACCAATTATATACCAGGCAAAAAGCAGCTGAGAGCCTCAACTGGGGTTAAATCTGCTGTTTGAATTACACAGGAGAGACAGGCAGTATTGTCCCGTATCTCCTTTACTTTTTGTAGTGGGTGTGTAGCTTTTTACAAAGAGGCTAAGAAATGAACTTTAGAATAATAAAACATTCAGAAAATAGCTTTACATGCTAAATGTATATTGTT